TTTTTTTTAAATTGAAACACTTTTACTTGTCACAATTATACTTCAAATTGTTTAAATAAAAATTATGATACCAGAGTCTATATATTCTGAAAATCATTTTTAATAAGACAGATGACATGTGACATGACTTCTTCTTTTGAATATTTATTCTTTTTGACCGACATCCCAAAAGAAGGAGGTAGTCAACTCGTCTGTATGTTTTTTTTATGTGTGTTACAGCATGACTCCGCCGCTAGTGGACCGATTTTAATAATTTTTTAATCGTAAACATATATAGATTGGTATTAGCAGCCTTATATTCAGCATACGGTCTGTGGATGGAATCTGTTGAACACACATAAAATGTTTATGTTTCTGGTGGGACCCTATATGTTCCTCTTTATATCGTCGTTTATTTCATATTGACTAGTTCTGGGATAATTCATTTGTTTTATTCTCAATACAACTGTCAAATAATATGTCTAATGCTTTTTAAATGGCATAATCCGTTTTGTTATAGTTTTTTAGTGCAAAATCTATATAGTTTTAACAGAAGGGCTCACTCTGTCAATAAATAATTATGATCAACAAAATGTGTTCATTATTAAATAACTTAAGTAAAATTTATTAAGAATTTTTTTCAGTTTTTTCTACCGAATTATAAATGGAGTTGGTCTTTGTTTCGTAATAAGGTGTTTGTGTCAAAAGGTGAACAGAAACATTTATTTTGATATAAATAAAATGTTACAATTTAATAAATTATTTATACGAATTACCTTTTTTTTTACCTTTTTACCCAGAAGCGTATTTTATTCATACAGATTATCCAATAAACAATCTCTATGGAAAATAAAAAGTGAAAGATAAAAAAATGGCAACATTATCTAGCAAAAAATGTAAAGCTACAATAAAATGGTGATAATTGAATCAAATAACTATACAATATTTTATTTTCCTAGATACAATACAGTATTTAATTATCCTAAACATAATTTTGGCGGGAACAAACCGAATTGACCAAATGACCCAGTCGTATAGAGGTCAAGCTCTATCAGGACAGGAAAATTAATTTGCACGTTAAAATAATTGTCTAGGTTTGAAATATAAAATAGTAAGTGGACCTACCACTAAAACATTCCCCGGCATGTGGAATGGTTTAGTGGTAAGTGAAGGTGTGTGGTAGGGACGCAAAACGTCGCGAATAAGCGCGCGAAACGCACGCGCACGCCATTTTGATTTAAAAAGTTTGAGGCTATTGGTATCGATTTGTTTTTGATTTTGTTTTCGATTTTTCTGTCGTGTATGAACGGATTTTATAATAAAAGTAAGTACTTTACTTCTATTTATATGGTTTTATTTTAATGAGATATCTAAAAGTTTAATTAGTCGTTGAGATATTTATAGATTTTTGTTGAAACTAAGAAATATTAATATCGTACCTAATTAAAGTAATAAAAAAAAATATATGCTTAAAATAGATTTTTTGTAGATATCTCTATTCTAAATTAATTAATTATCAAAACATTAACTTTCATGTGATGATTTTGTCAAGGAATTATTATGCGTCATTACGAATCTTAAAATACTAAATTTCGCTCAACAATAAAAAACAACTGCAGTGACATAACCAAAATTCGTAGTAGATTTTTTTACGTTACAGCTGAAAGTTTTTAAATGTTAAAATTACGCAAAGAGAGTATTTAGATGTCAAATGAAAGTTAGATGATTATACGAAATGAAAGCAAATCTTAGTAATAAAACATTTCGGGTAGTTTTATTCGCATTTTGCTGCGTTAATTGAATTGCATAATCTCTAGAGCTAACAAACATATGTATTGCATAGAGAATAATATTTTTTATAAACGTATGCAGAGGTTTTCGATTGGACTGTTTGCGTGATACACTCATATTTTTTTTTTTTACTACCTATTGCATTTACTAGCACGTTAATAGCAAGAAGGTTAACTTTGTTTAATAGTAAGTTTCATGAACCATCTCTTACATTTAGTAGTCCTTCAGGCATTATTTAGCTGTCCCTTAGTAAGAATTTCGTGATCACCAACGATATGGTATGTAAATTCATAATTTTGTGATTTTGATAAACCCTTAATCAAAAGACAACTATCTAATACTTAAGAGGTTGGTGATAATGTGCTTAAAGCTACTTTTCCACTAAGCGACTAGCTCCTTACTATTAGTTCTATGCTCAATTTAATTTTTTTTTGTAAAGTGTGGAATTTTTCGTATAAACAGGTTGGGAAGGAAAGTACATACGTAATAGTGACCAGGATCTTTCTGTTATGTTGAATGCCTAAATACTTCGTTTTTTAGTAACTCACTAGCTGTTCACGTGCGACTTCATCCGCGTAAAATAATGAAAATTTTACTTAATTTTTTACATGTGTCAAATTATTAATTGCAAATGTCAAAATACCAATTTTGCTTCCTTGATGTTGGCAGCAAATTATGGTCTCTTTCCCACATTAGGATTTTTATCCAAAATTTTTTCCCCCTTAGTTTATCGGCGTGAAAATATATACCCGAAAGCGTGACGTAAGTGTAGGGCATTTATTAAAAAAAGCATTATTCGAAAACATGCTGTAATTGCTGACATCTTAGGCAATAAAGAAGTGTGTGTTTACGCTTTATTATAATAGTACAGATAGTATAGATTTAATAATTTGGTAGTTTTATTAACATTTTTGATGTTTTCTTTATTGCAATATTGTATTGATTACATTAAATGTCAAATAATAACAAGATTTGCAGTGGGAAATAAAAAACGATTGACCTTTTAATATTAAAATGTTACCGATAAAAGAAGCACAGGAATAAAATCAAAGTTTTGTCTTTATATTAATTAAACTAAAATACATATGTCTGTTAAAAAAAAACAGACATAGTGAAAATAACCTCTTTTTTGAGAGTCGGTTGAAAATAATTTCAATGCAAGTTAGATAAAAATTAGTTCTGTTATTTTTCCTAATACTAATGTAGGATTTAGGCAAATGTAGCTAAGCAATAAGTTGTTCCGATTGAAGCTTTCGACTAATATTCTATCAGGGGTTTTTAAAGTACTTAAGCGTTCCGTACTCTAAATAAATGATGGAAAATTTTCAATTTAAAATGCATATCGTATTGCAACAGAATTACCTTCACCTTTAAAATGATCAAAACAAAATATTTTTAATCGGAGCAAAACAACTTGAAAATATAAGTGCGTATAATAATTATATACTGTGGGTTTCTAGCACTGATCTGTATAAATGGACAGTAATTTTTGTAGTATATAGCTTTTGCCCGCGACTCCGTTTGCATGAAATCAAAAAACAAAAGTAGCCTATGTGTTCATCCAGACTATCGTCATCTGTACCAAATTTCATTGAGATGTGTTAAGCAGTTTAGGCTACAAACTCTAACAAACATCCATCCATACGTCTATTCATTTAAACTTTCGCATTTATAATATTAGTGGGAAGTTAGATTAGTAAGATGGCTCAATACTTCCCTACATCTGTGTCCCAGGGGATGCATTTTATTGAGTTTTCTATAACATTTTCTGCTAACGAATTTAATCAAACTTTGTTCTCAAATTATTGTTTGAATAGCGAAGGGATGTAATTTATAACGTAAAGTAATTAAAGCTTAAACTTATAATTAATTGCGTAATGACTTTATTTAATACTTTAATTGGATGTTTACGTTTAAAAAGTATCAATACTCGAATATTTTTTTTAAAATTTTGTCATCTGGTTTTTCTAAATGTTTCACGTTAACAACGATACTTTAGATTTATGATTATTTTTATTTCAACACTGGCAACTTGATCTAAAATTAAAAAAAAAATATAAAATTTCAGGTGAATTGTCTAACGGTGAAAGATTTTTTGAATTCGGCCCAGCAGTTTTTGAGTTATTTCAATACATACAAAAATATAAATATTACGTCTGTAACATTTCATTTGTTTTTGGTTATTGGCATCATTTATTTCCTTAGAAACAAAAGCAAGCATTTTTCCAGACTAAGTGAGAGACGAATAAATATATATTCAGTAATGATCTATACAAGTAAAGGAATCTTAAAGACTAAGTATTACGTAACGTGAAAAATCTATTTGTACGTGGGTGTGTATGTTTGTACGGGTTTATACTCCTACATTCCTAATTTAAGTATCTTGGAATTATTGCATCATTTTCAGATTCATTAAACTAAATTTATTTTCTTTATATGTTAGTTTTCTAGAATGAAATGGAGAAAGTGCAACTATATTACGTTCCTTTTCACGAGATTGTTTCTAAAAATGTTTATGCCTTAAAAAGCAGAATTTATTACTATTATGCCTACAGATTTGATTATATCACGGTATACTAAGTAAGGCTAGGTTACCTTTGTTAATTTCCTCAAGGTATTTTGTTATCAATATAATCAAAAAAAAATATTAAAAACTAGCTGTTCCCGTGTGGCTCCATCCGCAAGATATTATAAAAACTTTATTTCATTCTTTACACTTGTCAAACTCTTACCAAATATAAAAATTACCGTAACCATAACAATCTTGCTTCTTTAATGTTAGTAGCTTATAGTTTATAGTCCCTTTTCCACATTAAGGTTTGTTCCGATTTATTTACCCCTTATATTTATTAGCGTGAACATATATAGCGTGAATATATATCCTAAAGCGTGTAGTAAGTGTAGGGCTTTTTATTAAAGAAAGAATTGTTAAAAAAAATGCTGTGACTGCTGACATCCTAGGCCACGAAGTAATGTGCGTTTACGCCTTATTATATTAAGTATAGATTGCATTCAGTTATATCAATTTCAATTAGCAATTGCATAAACATGCGATATCGAGAGCAATAGTTTCATGGCCGGCAGTTAGTTTCCATTTAATTGCAACATCCTGTAACAGCGAACTTCTGAGGTCGACTTACTGTTCATTGAACCGCCTTTAATAATAATATCAATTAGTTTTTACTTACCGACATTACGCTGTATATTGTTACGAGGTAAAGGAAGGAAATACATAAGCTAATAAAACAGAGTAGCAGTTTGCCCGCTACTGGTACAATGCATTTCACGAGAGCGTAGGAAACGAATCCTGTCAGTCTAGCTTCGGGAATACGATCGGGGTGTTACCTAACTCTCAACTAATATCCACCTAGCTGTCCCCTTACCAGTACCTGCCATGCAAGTGTACTGGGAAATATATTCTGGGTGTAAAGTTCAATAAACATAAGCTACTCAATCTCGCTGGTTTTCTCATACTACGTACTGGCTGCATGTATGACCGACGCGATGTAATGTAACGTACATTACACGTTTTAACACGTTACATTACATCGCGTCGGTCATACACTCTTAAAGAGAATTTGAGAATCTGGTCTTAAATTTATAACTAAGTCCCAAACAAAAGACTTCTTGAACCGTGAAATGAAACATGAAAAAATTCTTCATAACATTTCTTTGTAGTTATACTAAAGTTACGAAAAAACGCTTGAAGTGTTTCTTTATAAACATTTTAAATGTCGTTTAATTTTAACAGAGAAATAAATAAGGATAAAGCCTGACATTACGTAAGTACGACATCTAGTGGTAAAAAACGGTAATGCCAACAAGATGGCGCTAATGGTCCGTTAATGAAGAGATTTCTTGATGAGTTCATTTAGTTCCGATGAAACGATTTCTTTCGTATATAAATGCACATGTTACGAAAATCGCATCGTATTGGGGACCGAAAAAACGTTATTACGACATTGTAATCGATTCTTTGAATCGTAACTTACGATATTTAAAACCCGTTCGTGTATTGATAATTATCAGTTTTTAAAATAACCATTTTTTTCACTCTCGCACCAGAAAGAGGAAGAAACTGCAAACATTACCAAAGAAGTTAAGATAATGATCGAAATCCTTGAAGTATTTAAACTAAATGTTTAGCTAAAAATTTTTTTACCTATGTAACTGATAATAACAGTTAATTGATAAGAATTTGAAAGAAATTCAATTTGAAAATATCAAGAAAAGTTTTCCTTCGTAATTTTAAACTCGCATTTACTCAACTTATTACTAGAGCGTTTGAGTAGTAACATTTCTGGAACGACGTCATAAAGATCGTGTGAAAGGTTGTTAATAATGTGTAAACAGACGTAAGTCGTAACTCCGCTTCGGCACACTGACACAACTTACGCCAGGGATGGCGAACATTTATGCATTAAAGAGCTATTTTTTTAAATAAAATTGCCGTCTTAGACGTACCGAATAATTTTCACTGCGATCATTACGTCATTTCCTTGCACCTATTTCATAATTTTTGTCGTATTGTTT